GGGGGGGGGGGGAGTGACGTACCTGCACATGCGCCGCTGATGGCTGCCGCCTGCCATTTCAGCTTCTGCACCTCCTCGCGAGGATTGGACATCAATCAACCAACCGACAGACAGACAGTCAGAAGTACCAAAATCTGCACGAGAAGCCTGCAACACGACACACAAACACACACACAAGACAGTCTGACAGAAGCATCACTGTCAGCCTCACTCTCTCACTCACCAATGCCGCAGATCAGCTCATCTCGCCGGTCCTCATCTCAGTATCATGAAACTGCAAGCAACGCCATATCTGCTGTTGCCGTTCACACGAGGGAGTGCTCACACACGCAGAGGACGGAGAATGGCGGGAGATGCGAGGAGAGGAGATGCTGGCGTGATTTTTGCGAGCTTGAAGATGCTGACCCGGGGTTGCAGAACGCGGCGTTTTCCGGCGGATGCTAGCGCTCGTCTGTGCTGTTGTGTTGCTTGCCTTTGGTCTATTCCAGGCTGGATCTTTCCGATTAATCAGGTCGGTGAATGGATGGACAGATCAGCGCACACGACTATGCACAGATCTGAACGGATGATTCCTGCCTGCTTTGGCTGTATTGTCTGTCTGTCTGTCTGTGTTGGTGCGATGAATGTTGTGTCAGCGACCCATCTCTGCCCTACTCCAAGTTCAACCCTGCCCCAGCAGAAGGCAGGAGAAGAAAACATGCAGCCCTGACGCCTTTCAAAGTGAGAGAATGACGCACACACACGCATACGGGACACAAGCAACCATGTGGATGATGGTGAATCAATCTGTCCGTCTGTGGGTCATCTGTCTGCCTGTGTTTCAGGGCGACGAGCGAGATTTTCTGCACCCGTTTCCCCCGTCCTCCTGTCGGCAGCAGGTGATGCGCAACCTCACGTGGACGCGCAGTGGGTACACCAGCACCCTGGGGCACCAGTGGCAGGACGTCTACGTCATCGAGATGAAACTCAAAGATGAGACGGTATGTGTGTGTGTGAGGAGGGACAAGACGGACTCCTGTGTAGAGCTGTCTGTCTGTCTGTCTGTCTCTCTGTCTGTCTCTCTGTCTGTCTGTGTGTTGTCATCTGTCAGCATGAGGGTGAGTATCGGCTCTCAGACGTCATTATGGAGGCACTGCCACAGGTGTGTGCGCATGTAGAGAGGATGCCGGTTCCATGAGTGTCTGTCTGTGCGTGTGGGCTTTTGCGTCTGCGCAGGTGCCTGACAGGGAGGGCGCCTTGTGGCTCATCGACCTTGGCTGCGTGTACATATCAGAGAACCCACCTGCTGACAACGGTACGCACACAGACAGCACACACACCGTCCTGACAGTCCATGTGTGTGCACGCAGTTCCCGCCGCCACATTGCGAGCCCAGCTGAAGAGCCACTACCGGCGCAACCGGATAGACGGGGCCATAAGCATCAAAGGCAACGAGCGGTTTCTCATCAGAGTGCACCTCAAACCCAAGCGACAGAGAGGTGCGTTGTGTGCGCAGGAGGGACGTACACACGCGGCACATCCGGGTGGATACATTAGTGTGTCTCTGTGTGTGTGTAGGTGTGCATGTGGACTGGCCGTCGCGTGTGCGCCATTCGTGTGAGCATTTTGTGGTGCTCGAGAAGCCCTTTGGGCTGCCCTGCCAGCCACATGTGTCCAACTACAGGTACACACACAGTCACACACACGCGTTGACATTGAGGAGGCATACGTGTGTATCCTGCATAGGGAGTGTTTGCACGGTGCCGCTGAACGAGGCCTGCAGGAAGACAGTACGCACGCAAGCATACACACACTCACACACAGTCACAGACACAGACACAGACACAGGCACACACAACACATCCATCCATCCATCCATCGGTGCGCGTTGTGGGACTGGCTGCAGATCTCATAGCGCTGCATCGGCTGGACATAGCGACCACCGGGCTGGTGTGCGTGGCCCGCCGCAAGAAGGCCGCGCGGCACTTCACGCGGTGGATGGAACACAGATCTCTCAACGGCAAAGCCACACACGTGTACGTCCGTCTATGCGGGCTCAAGGACAGCTGTATGTGCGTGTGTATCTTCCCGTCGTGTGTGTGGTGTGTGTCTGGTGTCTGGTGTGTGATTCAGGGAGGAGCAGTCAGCCGATGGCTCAGCTGCAGGTAGGTGGGTGACCGTCTCGCCCATTGGATGGGCATATGGCCCACCTTCATGCAGACGCAGAGCGGGCGATCGGCGAGATGCGCAAGGTGTACCGTGTCCTGGTGCGGAAGCCATTCGACAACGGCGTCATCCAGCACTACATGCCACCAGGTTCCCTCACCCCAACACCCATGCACTCGTCCACACAATGCATTCACGCTGGATGGGTGCAGGTCCAGCATTGAACCTCAACACGCAGGCGCCCCGTCTCGTGAGCGAGTCGCCTATCGACGGCTGGAAGGACTGCAAGTGTGTGGTGCTCTCGTGCACTGATGTCACCGACCAGCTGACGGTCCGCGTACACACGGATCTGTATGCTCACATTTCCATCTCTCTCTTTGTGTGTGTGTGTACTTGTGCAGATGTCAGCCAGCGACCGGTCCGCCCCGCCCCCCTCTGATGAGTGGCCTGCCTTTGCGATCGACGCAGAATGGGACAGAACCATGTGAGTGAGCGGAAGTAGATCCGTCTGTGTTTGGGAAGGTGTATATCTGTGTGACTCCTGTGTGTGTCGGCAGTTCTCAAAACGAGGCGAGAATGCAGCAGAGGCTGGAAGGGCTGCTGCAGGTACACACACACACACGCACGCACACACACACACACACACAGAGAGAGGGAGAGGGAGAGGGAGAGAGAGATGGGAAGGGAAGCATGTATCCAGCCAGCCACACATGGATGCACTTATGCTGCTGTGTCGTCAGGACGGGGCATCTCCCTACTATGAGCTACAAGTTGAGCTCATCACTGGTATGTGCCATGGTGTATGTGGCACACCTGCGCACACCGATCAGTCCATGAATGCGTGTGTGCTTTTCATCATCAGGCCGTACACACCAGCTGCGGGCACAGTTTGCAGCAATGGGGGCGCCGATCGTCGGGGACACCATGTACGCAGCACACACACACACACGCCAAACACAGTCACATACCTGCAAATGGTGCTTTGTCTGGTGTAGGTACGCACCGATGAGCGGCTTTTTCGTCCACACGCTATCGGAGAAAGACGAACAGGTCGCCCCCACAACGACCAACGGACCCATGGCGGCCAAGCGGCTGATGGACACGGCAGCAGAGCCGGAAATACCGATCGGTACGATACTCGCACAGATGGGCGTGTGCAGAGGGGTGTGTGTACGTGTGTGCCTGTGTGTGTTTGTGTGTGTGTGTGTGTGTCTTGTGCAGGTCTGCACGCGGCTGTACTAGAGCTGAACGGCACTCGCATCGAGGCGGGGCCGCCATGGTGGCGAGGCGGACTCTACTGATTCGTCCAGTGAACCAACAGACGTGTGCAGCCGCTGATTGCTCACAAAGGTAACGTGTAGACATGCGAGTGAGTGAGTGAGTGGGTGGCCGTCCGCCGTCAGTCCGTCCGTCCATCCAGCTTGCTGTGATGAGAATGTGAATATTTGCTACTTTCGACCCACTGGCCAGTGGGGATGAAAAATACACCACCGAGATCTCTGAGCGATTGATCCATCGGATGGACGCATGTATAAATCTGACTGACGTGTGCGTGAGTTGGGAGTGCTACGTAGATATGCTCTCTCTGTCTCACACACACACACAGACACGCACACTCCGTCTGTCTCTGCGTGTGTGTGTCTGCAGGATGACACGGACGAAGACAGCGGCCAACCGCCCTCATGTGGAGATGAGCGGACTGTATCGGGTATGTCGATCAACAGAGGGCTCAATTACTACCAGCTTCGAGATATGAATGTGGATTTTATGTGTGTGTGCAGTTGCACGACTGGCAATGCGCTGAGAGAGAGTCATCAAGAGTTGTATTGTGCATCAAGGATGCATTGATTGAGGGTGTGCCACTGCGTGTGTGAGGGTGGGCTTAGTTGGCATATGCTTGATTATGGGGTCGATTTGTATGTGAGGGTGTCATGGTGTGAATGGCTTTGTGCTTTAAAAGACGGACGTACCGCTGTAAATAGTGGATGAATGAGTAAGCACAATTGAATAAGCAGGCAGTGAACACGTATGTGTCTTCAATTTAATAAAAGCTGTGTGTCCTGTCCTGCGAAATGAATCTACTTGGAATGGATGCCTATTAGTAGCGGATGTATTTTATTCTAGCGCGTCACGCCCCCGTGGTCCATAGCCGTGGTCAGCAGCATGCGGTGAGGAAAGGAGACGAAGGTGTCGGTCTTCTTTGTGCGTCCTTGCGCTGGATTGAGATAGGCAGCAGACGGCGGGGGCTGCACTCACAAACACACACACACACACACAGAGGTGCACACACACACAAGAATGCATATGGCTTATCGCTTGACGTACACAATACCAGGTGGATGTGACGAGCGTCGCTGTGTTCGTGCGGGAGAGCCCTCCTTTGGTCCATCCCAACACCAACAGGCGCTGCTGCCGGACGAAGTCGTTGAACGCATCCTCGAGCTGGTCGAAAACTGCGGGGCTGACGTATCCTGGGTCAAGTCGGTCCATTGCAGCTGCCAGCCTAGGCTATTCCCAGGCTGGTGGGGCGGCTCCAGACCTCGCTCTCCATTGTCTCTCCATTGCCATCCTCGGCACCGTCGAGATCTGCCACGCTTCGGCGGTCATCGAGACGATAGAAGGACGGGATGGCTACGCCCAGCGGACAGGTATTGCACGATTTCTCGTTGCAGAGATTCTGGTACATCCACATACCCACCGTCCCCACGTGTGTTGTCCGCTTGTAGGTCTCCTCTGCGTCGGGACCTTTCATGGTCCTGCCACAAAACGAAGACAGAGACCAGCGAAAAAAAGCACGAGGGGGGTTAATAATAGGTAATGCCCCTTACGAGCTCATCCTGCGGGAAACGGTGTCCGGATTGCGAACAAAGTCGCCCGACACATGCCCCATGAATTTCTTCACGTTGGTGTCGACCCATGCAGGGGGCTCGATCATCTCATCCTCTTCGACGTCCCCCATGACTTCGACCGAAGGCTTCAGATCAGCCAAATCGTACAGAAATAACTATGCAGGAACGAACAGTCAAAAAAAGACACCAATAGATTATCTCAAATTGATAAACCAGACTGACCGACCTGCACCAGCATGGACGTCAACTTGAGTCCGAAGCCCGGCAGTGTCATCAGAAAAGTGACAATGGACGACGGAGGCGCCGAAGACGTGGTGGTCATTGCATATCACAAACACCAGACGCCGCCTGTCGCCGACACAACGCAACAGATCGGCCACAATGGGGCCGTCCCGCCATGTTCTGACGTACAGACAGACAATGCTCTCTCCTTCTCTCTCTGTCTCTGTGTCTCTGCGTGTGTTTGTTGGCTGCACACATACCGGTAGACGGACTGCAGCCTGATGCTGTCCGTGAGGGGGCTGTCGGTTGATGCAACCAAAAAGCCGCAGGCTCGACAACTGATATTACAGATGTAACGCAAGCAATAGACAACATGGCAACTGGCAGGTGAGGCTGCGTGTGCGTGTCTCTACCGAATTGCATTAAATCATGCCGGCTCTGAAACATTGCAAAGCCTCCGAACTGCCGACAGCCCATAGCACGTGGTCTCCCCCTTGATAGACTCGACAACGGCCATGTCCGTGGACATCATCCTGTGGGAAAACACAGAAAGAGACACACATCCAGCAGCAAAGCGAAGAGAGAGAGAACACTTGAAGGTAACCGTGGGGCGTTTAAAAGAATGTGCACCTGTCCTTTGCTCTTCTCATAATGCTTCCTCTGCCCATGACACAAACCATCTCTCTTCGTCGGTGTCGTCGAACCTTGGTGGCGGCACCCTGTTGATGCTCAAGTGAAGGTCGATGTGCAGTTTGCCCGACGGACGGCGAACGGTGAGCTGTAAGCTCATTGTCGATCTGCTCCTCAACGGCCAGCTCGACACATTACCGAAGCGTCGTCGTGAAGTTGCGAGGCAACCTCACCATCCACCAACGCCCACGCACCAAACGACTCACCCCTACCCGCAGAAACGCGGTGGCCTGAGAGCAGATCGACACAAGTCAGAGAGACATGTGATGGATTCCTTGTTGTGTGTATGTATAGAGGGCGGCGTACATTGTACATGTATGCTTGACGACGCTCTGACTCGACACAGAGTCGGTGTCGTGACGCCTTGCGGAGCGTCGGAGTAGTGCAAATGCACCTGTCTCTGAGCTGTGTGTCGCTGTAGGCTGTTGTAGCGTCCTGCACACACACCCAACCCATCCGCACAGACACGCAGACAGAGCACCCAACCCACCCACACAGACACGCACACACACACACACACAGAGAGAGGAGAGAGAGGGGCGTCGAAAGCTCGTCGGGGTCTGTCTGTGATGAATACTTTTTGTTGACGCTGGCTTTTTTAAGCTCCAGTTGCATGACGCCGTCGGTGTCACCCTGTTTGACCACTGCACACACACACACACACACACACACGTGTCAACAACCACCTATAACAATTATAGACCTGTAACGATGTGTCTGTATGTGTATCTGTGTGTGTTCGTATGTGCTGCACCGACCTCTCTGCTGAGTCCTTCTGGCGACTTTGAATTGCTGAAGAACACCTCATCGAGCACTTGATCATGGTAGTTGCCATTGATGTCTCCATGCACAGGATCGCGAGTGAAGAACCACTTCTCCTCTCCCATTCCATGATCCAAACAAAATTGGACAAAGCACGCACTGGCGATGTCCTGCATGTCGTCCAGAGAAAGTTTGTTTTCGCCGCACACACGTTGTTGATAGCATGCCATCCACAATGGCTCTTTATCTGTCTCGGATGGTATCCATTCCACGTAGCAGCTCGTGTCTGGCCCTCACTTGGCGGTGTGTGTCTCTACTTCAGGAAGGCCCCGGTAAAGCTGAGTGTCCTCTGTGGGCTGTCTCTGACGACAAACTTGTGCTCTCGTCGAGTCACCGACACCGTCTCTGTCGAAACGACAGGCGTACGCATATACAAGGCAGGGCTGCATGGATTGATTGCTTCTTACCCAATTGTTCTTACCTTCTTGACGGGGAAGCTGGCGAAGGTATAGTGCACACTTAAGTACATCGCACGAGCTCCCAGTCCTTGCTGTTGAGCATCGCGGATGACCGCCAACATCTCGGCATTGTCGTTGGCAGCAGTGCGCATGAACTGGTAAAAATTCGCCTCCAAGCGCTGTTGCTAACAGTGCTGCTGAACAATTCGATCGTCACCCTTGGCCTCTTCGTTGGCTACAGGACGAGCGGAATTGACAGCCTCGGTGGCTGCCTCTCGAGCCGCCAGCTTCACCTTGGCCTCTGTTTTTGCCGCCACCGTGGCTGCGAATACCTCGTTCAGCTTGGCCACCTTAGCGTCAGCCTCAACGAGACGCTATGCACAAGTAGCCCTTCTCCTCGAGGAACGACCACAAAGAGACGGGATCCAGCTCCTTGACGGGCTTCTCCTCTTTACCCCAAACCACCACCTTCTTCTTCACCAGCTCACAAGGAGACGCTGTTTGACCTCGACAGGTTCTTTGGGCAGCGACAAGGAAGACAACGAGTTGACCAATGCAGCTCTGCGGGGCGACGAAAGAGTGTGATTGTGGGGGTGGTGATCGTGGTGGCGGCTGAGAATGTGATCGATAGGCTTGCGGGCCCTGGGACAGGTTCGCTGGTGGTAGAGGCCGTGACGCATGGGGCATGGAACGCCACGGACGTCCTCGCAAGTGGTGGGGAAGGGACGTGCCCAAAAGTGTGGCGGCTGAGAATTTGACCGATGGCAGGGACTCGTCCGTCTTTCAATCCTGCAGGCAAGCAAGGCAATTAGGGAAACTGAAGATTACAATGCTCTCCCCTCACTCTCGTCACCTACGAATGTACCAGAGCACTTGTGTTCTCCGGTGTGCTGCACCAGGTATGACCTGCCTCCACATGGCTGTACCATGTAATTGTCACTTCCTTGGAAGAGGGCTGCGCATGCAGCGCATATGGCATGTCGTCAAAGCAAGCGGGTACCAGATGAGCAGTTCTTCTCCCTCCTAAATTGTCCGAGCAGCACGGACCTCGATTGTGTAGTTAAGGTGTCCCTGCTCTGTTGGTTTTGTCTCTGCATGCCGAAGTGCCGTGGCGCCGCCGCAATATAGAGGTAGGTGTTAAGGAGCCGGACAGCAAACAAATCGATGACCGTGGCTGGCAGTGACACACAAAAAGAGGAGATCACCGTAAGAAAACGAATGGTTGAAGGCCATCTCATAGCTGTCTCACGGTGATGCTCGCCCTCGGGCTCCTTCAAAGCGAGCCCGAACCAAATGGCAGCTGCAAGACCATATAGCGCCAGGATTCCCAGCAGCGTCAGCCATATAACCCTCCATCGCAGACGCTTATCCACGCAAAGCCTTGTAGACCAGGAAATCCCCACAGTTCCAGCAACCCGCAGGCCGGACCTTCTTGTGCTGTTTGCGGTTGATGATTGCGATTGTGGCTGAGCTTCACATGCTGCGCAGAGAAGACGGCAGTGCTAGCACTCAACGGCGGCCTTGGCGATGCCCGCGGTGAGAAAATCCTCCACATACGGCACATCTTCACCAAACCTGGCCACGTGAGTTGAGGAGACAGTTGCGATATGCGTGCTTTCTCCGCAATTCTCGACTTCTCCTCCCGGCCAAACTGTAAACGAGGAGCGGGCCAATCGCTTTGGAGCCCGGGAGGCCGCGCGGGGTTGGCTCACATGGTGCGTGTGCGCGACTTTTGTCATGGTTTGTGCGGTACAAATCTGGTTGATGCATCTGCTTTCAGCAAACACGCGTCTGTCAACTACTCAGCTGATCTCATGGCTGATCTGATTGAGCGACATAAAACAAATAGCTGTGTGGACGTGTGTTCTTGCTCGGGGGTGTTCATGCATCAGGCCATGGTGCTAATGTCGCTTCTCGCTCACCCAGACAAGAGATATCTCCCGTGCACACAGAGCAGCGTGCTGTGCATGGATCATTGTACGTACGACGAACCCACACGCGCGCCTACGCACTTGAGAGACACGCACACGTGTGCAGCCAAGGGGGGGCAAAAGTCAAAACCCGGCGGCCATTCACCCACGCCACGCACCACACACAGACAGGAAGCTGCACAACAAACAAGAGGGACGAGAAAGAACACGCACACGCACTAGGCAGACATCAGCGAGGAGCTGGGAGCTACGATTGCCGCTTGACGTCCGGCTGCCCGGGGTATGCCGGCTCCTTGCGTGATGCCGACAGCGGCTCGGTATAGGGGCCGCCATACTCCTGAATGGCGATAGCAGCTGACGCGCACACATACACACAGAGAGGGGGATGCATGTGTGTGGGCATGGCTGCATATCAGCGTGCGTGTGCGTACGCTGGTCGCTTCCCGATGGGAGCAGCCTCTCAGTGTCGGGCTGGTCGTACAGCCGCAGCTGCTGCCGGGTCAGATTGACTATGTACACCACCGCACACTGAGAGAGACCACACATCCATCCATCCATCCAGAGAGGGGCGTGTGAGTGAGTGAGTGTGTGTGCGAGGCGTCCATGTGTTTTTGTGTGTGTGTGTGTGGTTGTTGTTGTTGTTACCACAAAGACGATACAGCCGACGCCGATAGTGACCCAGAAATATGGCCCGTGCGAGAACTGCCCCGTGGCTGCACGCGTGACATACACACATGGCACTCGTGCGTGAGACCGTCCCCCTCTCTGTCTTTGCTGTGCTGCTGTGCTGTGTGTTACATTTTGATGCGTCGGATATTCTCGCCATGGTGGAGCCCACGTATATGTAAACGCCCAGAACTGATCACGCACACACGCACAGCCACACAACGAAGAAGCGCGTGTGTGTATGGGTATTGGTTGCGTCTGCCATGTGTGCATCACGACTGCATTCTCACTGGGCGAGTAGAATATGCTGCCTATTAGGTAGTGCTTCAGCGAAACGCTCGTGGTGCCCAACACGTAATTTAGCAACTGCACACACACACACCGCGAACACAAAATACGCGCAAGTAGAGGTGCATCCGCGCAGGTGCGTGTGGTGTGTGGATGCCATGCGTACTGTGAAGGGCACCACTGGCGCCAGCCTCAATAGCGCGACAACCTTTATACCAGCTGCACACATAGAGAGAAAAAAGATACACAGGTGCTTGCTGCCGACCCTGCCCACCCCGCTCACCTTGTTTGATGCCGTCGTTGACGGCTCTGAATGTTCGATATCGCGCCAGGAGGCCGTGGACGAAGTTGTACAGCAGGTAACGAGAGATCACGAAACATATGAACATCGCTGCAGAGACAGGCAGGCAGACAGACAGGGAAGGCGCATGAAAACGTGTTGTGTAGGTGGGCGCGAGTGACTGTATGGGTTCGTACAGATATAGGCACCGATGAAGCATAGCACGAAAGCCACCACAAAGCCTCCTGATGAGGGATCGATCGACCACATGGACCCACAGACACACACACGTAATGTCCGATCCACACACGCCTTCCGTTGTGCACCGCAATGCACGTACCTTTCCCTCCGAACACCCGAGTAAAGATGTAGCCGCCGCCGATCGTCTGCCACAACACGCACACACACACACACACACACACACACAAGAACCCTCACACACGTGCAGACACCCATCTGGTATGTGTGAGTGCGAGTGTCTGTACCAGTGCCTCTGCGGGCACGAAGAACACAGTGGTGAATGAGTAGGTGAGAGTGAACACCAGCGCGCCCATCCACCGCCGCCTCTTGACCTGCACACACACACTCGCACCCACCCACCCACCCACATGGGCCATAGTCGTGGTATACATGTGATGTCTGCGTGTGCCAGCCTGACTGACCCACAGGAGGAACTGCTCTGTCCACGCCTCTACTATATTGGACGAGAACACCACCGTCAACAGGCAAAGCATCAGGATTGCCGCCAACACCACCTGCATGTCTCACACACACACACACACACAGACCCCCACACACACAGCACACACGCACAAATCAGCAAATGGGTTGTTCCCTTCTCCCATTCAGCGTCACATCCATGAGTCCATGTGCGTCAATACCTTTAGTGCGACCATGATGGGCCACCAGGAGCTCTCCCTCCTGACAGCGGTGCCGAGCGGGACGCCCACATGCCGCCCCGACACCTGGCGCTTGTCCTCGTAGTAGTCCACACCCACACAAGGCGCCCTGATTGGTGCACGCGCATCCACCATGCACACACGCACAGCAAGAGGGAGAGAGAACGGTCTGTTCTGTTCGTCCTTGCGGCGTGCTTACGAGATGGATGACGCAGAGGCCATCTCCTCTTTGTGCCGGGTGGGCGATGAATGGGTCGGGGATGACATCATCGCCTGAACCTGTCGGTTTCCATGATTTTTCGAATATCCTCTCGAAAAGTGCGAGCCAATGGGTGCGAGCTCTGAGAAGAGGTGACCGTGACGAGCATGTTGGGTAGCCGGGCCTCCTGTTGATGGCACATGATTGCAGTCTGACAGATCTGCAATGACGCCAGAGGAGCGAAACCGGCTTCTCCTCATCGGGCTGGGATGCGTAAGCCAAGCGGGCGGGCGGCCAGAGAGATCTCGGTGCTGCACATGGATGCGTGTGTGTGTTCCATCCATTGACTATCTGCAGTTCTGCCCGTTTCTGATCGTGGGCGTGTCGCTGCTGGGCGCCTGCTTTGTCACGCTTGAACCGGTCTGGTGATTTGATTTGCAGCCGGCCAGAAAGAATGGATGGCCACGACGATGAGGGGCATCCTTTGTCCTTCTGTGTGTTTGTGCGTGTGCCTTTGTCAGAATGAGTTTGGCATAGAGGTGAATCGCAACACACAGCAGCTCAAGTAAGATGCCACCCAAACAGACAGACACCCATCACCGACGGTGTTCATTGCGTCTGATGTCAGCATCGACAAGCTGTTCCGCGGCGGGCGCAACCTGGTGGGGATTGGGCATGAGTTCCTCACGTAAGTGCCCCCGCCTGTGCCGGCCTGCCGGCCTGGAAGAAAGAGCAGAAAAAGCTGCCCACCTGGCAATTGTTGTGTGTTGGCCTGCGTGCGCACACATGTGCAGCTACCCTGCTACAGACTATCTGCTGCTGTTTGCCGAGGATGCATACCGAAGGAGACAGCAGAGCGGTACATATGCACACGCACACACACACACATAGGTAGAGAGTGCTCACCGCCCCGGTGGACGGATGGATGGATGGATGGCTTGTGTGCAGGCGACGAAGTGCCGGCCCTGTTTGAGGGGGATGTCACAGTGCGCACATGGTGACCCCCTCCTCACTCACTCACTCACACACACATGCTACACAGAATGCCTGAACTCGTGTGTGCGTGTGTGTGGTATGTGTACAGGGATGGCCTCTCGATGGTCATGGGGGTGGTGGTACAGATGCGCCTGGGGCTCGACGACACCATCGAATCCTTCACCAGGTAAGCCGAGAAAGAGAGAGAAAGAGAGAGAGAGAGAGAGAGAGT